TTACTACTGTCACCAGCCAAGTACAATTATTGGATCCTTCTGTCTAAGTAAAAAAAAAAATCGACCCAGTTTTGTATTACTCCCTCAGGACTGTGTGTCAGGTTAGTACAAAGTCAACAGATTATGCCAAAATCCCTCATCCCATTACCACGCTCTCCATCACTACAAGTCAGCACATCCTAGAGGCAGTGCACCAAAGCTCTGCATTCAGCAACCTCTTAGACCTTATTACTCTGCAAAACAGTGAACTTGATAAGTGGCATAAGCTCTTCTCACTCTCAGAGTGCACATCCAGTGTCTGGCCAATTGCCCTCTGCCTTTTCTACCAAAGATCCAAATTCTCCATCCCAGCACTCTTGACCTCACCACACCTTAGCCTGTGTTAACCACTACTTTATGTTTAAGTATTTATCTACACTTCTGAAGTTAATTCCTGTTTTTCTCTTAACTCTGTAATTCCCTTGAGTCACTAATGAGCCAGATGTTTTCACTCACTACCGTTTACCTCCTTCACCACAAGTTTGTTTTTCTGTTGGTGGTTTTTTTGTTTGCCTTTTTTTGGTAACACTCTCCTATTCCTTTTTCCCCGTACACATATTATTGTTAGACTGGTAACTCCTAACCAGTGTTTGACGGCTCCTTCGGGCAGAGGCCATTTTCTTGCTTTGTTTTGTGCACAGTACACTCAGGAACACCTGCAACAAAATATATGCTGAGGCAACCAAAGATGTAACTAACGTGACAAGAAAATTTATTATGGTATTCTCAGTGGTTTCAACAGAAACCTGGAAGAACAATTGACATTCCAGGGGTATCAGCAGGAACATGAGAAAACATGCTGTAACAATCTGTGTTTTTCTTCACTGTTATGTGTCTCCAAAGCCCTCCATTTGGTATTTACCTTCACAGAATTAAGCCTATTAGCAAAAGAATGGCATTTTTCTCCACAATGATTGTATTTAAGCCCTACCAATTCACCTCTCACAGTCACATTTACAGAACCCAAATGATTTTTTTTTTTTAAAGATACAAGAACAGTCTGCAAAGCAATGCAGATACTGACTTTGATAAACTGCCTGTTGTCCTCTCCATCCCATCTGCTAATAATTTTGTTTTCCTACTGGAAAATCATTATTGGTACAGAAATAATCTGAGATCTCGGGAAATAAACAATGTTAAACCAACTGTTATGCTGGGAATAAACCATTTTTCCTGCTGACTTTCAACCACATACCTTAACTGACCTGTCAGATACGCATTACTGAGAACTACAAAAAGTCCCTTCATTCTGCAGCTTCAAGAACAATTTAAACCTTTGAATGGTGCAACTGTGCTAAAAGACAGAGGACTGTTCTACAATTAAAATGATACGCTAAAATATTTTAGAGAACAAGGAGCATTTAATATTAACCACTGAGCAGAAATCAGAATCACCTATTTCCTACTCAGGACTGAAGGTGAGCCTCTGGAGCGCAGGAAGAGCACGCAGAGCCGCGATAACCGCGCGGCAGCTCTGCTCTCCCACTTCCCCCTCAGGCACGCACGAGCGAGCGAGCCCCAGCGCTGCCCCAGCCCCTCCGCGGCACCACCGGGCTGGGTGCGGGCCTGCCCCGGCCCCGCCGCACAGCTGCCATCACAGGGCGCTCCCCGCTCCAGCAGCAGCCCCGGGGGCAGAAGCCCCGCCCGGGAGCGGCGGCTCCTCCCCAGCCTGGCGGAGTCCCGGCCAAGAGCCGCACGCCACCTCCCCGCCGAGCGGGCTGCTCCGGGCGGGGGAGGAGGCGGCCGAGCCAGGCCAGCTGGGACCAGCCCAACCCCGTCTGCCGCGGACAGTGAACCCCGCTCTCCCGCACCCCCCGTCTCCCGGGGGAGACCCCCTCTGAAAGCTCTCACCTTCGACGACTCCGCAGAGGAAGCGGCGGGAGCCCAGCGCCGTCTCCGTCTCGGTGTCGGTCTCCTCGCCGCCCGGGACCGGCCCCGCCGCGGCGCCCGGCGGGTCTAAGGGGGCGCCGGGCACCCCGGCCGGGTTGGGGCTGCCCTGGGGCTCCTCCAGCGCCGCCTGCCCCTCCTTCTGCACCATCCTGCCGCCCGCCGCCAGCGCCACCGCTCGCCGGGCCGGGCCGAGCCGAGCCGCGTCCCTGCCGTGCCCGCCGCGCAGCCCCTTTGTCTCCGCCGCTCCGGGGCCGCCGCCGCCGCTTCCTGTTTACGGGGCGCTGCGCCTGCGCGGGGAACCGGCCCCAACCGGTCCGCGCCGCTCCGCCCGCCGCCGCCCCGCTCCGCGGGACCGCCGCGGGGGCAGGGGGAGCGTCTGCCTCGGCGGGAAGGGAGCGAGGGAGGCGGGCGGCCGGGACGGCGCCGGTGGAGCGGGAACAACGGGCTGGGGCGCGGGAGGCTCCTCGGGGAATGAGGCGGGCGGGCGGCGCGCGCGGTCTGCGCAGGCGCGGGGCGCGGGAGGGCGCGGGCGGCCTCAGGGCGCTTGCGCGGGGAGGCAGCGCGCGCCCGCGGCGCACGCGCGAGGGGCCGCGGGGAGCGAGGGGGAAGCGGCGGCGGGGCATCACGCATGCGCCGTGGGGTTTGTGTAGGGAAGCGGCGCCGAGGGGGGAAGGAGGGCGGGGAGCGGAGTGTTTACCTCGGCACTGCGCCTGCGCCTCGCGGCGCCCCGGCGGGAGCGCGCCTGCGCAGGAGCGGAGGGCGCGCGGGCTCCCGTGAGACGTGCCCTACTTCTCGCGCTGCCGCGCAGGCGCAGCAGGGCCCGCCGGGGACGCGGCGCTGCTGAGGGGGCACAGCCGCCACCCTCCTGGCACGGCACGGCCGATGGCACCCTGGAGGTGGCCACGGGAATGCTGAAGGGTGGGATGGCACCGGTAGATCAGAGGAGAGCTCTGAGGTCACACAGGATCTCTCCTGCTGCGGCCGAAGGGGAGCCCCCCAGGGCTGAGATGAGCTCTCTTGTGAGGAGAGAGGCCGGCAGGGTGATGCTGCCAGCCCTCACAGCGCTGCGCAGCGTGCAGCAGCTGCCACCAGCAAGAAACACGTTATCAAAGAGCTGCCGAAAACCCCAGCTCGGGAGGAAGGGCTGGAGAAGGCCTGCAGACAGCAGGGCAGATGCTCCACATTTCCGCATATTCCCACTGAGAGCAGCTGGGCACCACAAGAAACCGAAGGCGGCTGCGTTTCCTGCACCGGCGATACCCTCTGGGGAAGCTGCAGCAGAGCCCCTGGCCAGGGGAATCTCTAGTTACCACCATCAGCAGGCCAAAGCTTTCAAAGAGCAAAAATAGAAATTGTACAGATACCATAAATAGGAACCAGCTAAATTGTATTGACTCTACAGAAGGGTTAGAGAGGAGAAATGTGCAGAATCTGGGTGGAGAACACACAGGTCTTTCACACACATCCAGAGTTTGGTGGGGACTACAGGGTCACAAAAGGCCCTGAAGAGGTGCTCATATCTCTGATGATGGCAAAACAATCCTACAGTAATAGTTCTCCCAGTGTTGGATCTCATTCTTTTACAAAATGCTTGTGTTTCTAGTATTCAGGATGTGGAGTGAATCACTGCCCCAGGCTGCATCAGCTGCCTCATCCAGTTGCTCAGCTGTTTTACCCCATAACTACTATTAATTTTGCTTCTGAAAGCTGAGAAAAACTTTTCTGGAAACGCAAGGCTACCCTTTTCCAAGGATCCATCAAGTCTTGCCTCTGTTCTCATCATAGACCAAATGACTTGGCTGTCCACCCTTAAATGCCACCTCCTCCTAACAAGGGTGATCCAAGCCCTGGCTCACACGGCAGCCTCTCATGGCAAGCTGAAGGCACACCTAAAGGATCCAGGCCTCCCTGCCCTCAGGCCCTTCCTGAGGCCCTACTTGGGGGAGAGCTGAACAGATTATTTTTGACTCCCAGCAATGCCTTCCCACCCCCCACTCCAAAAGCTACACTCCCTGCACAAACCTTTTCCATCTGGTGTGGAAAGGCTACAGCACCATTCCAAGGCTGAGCCCCACAGCGCTGCTTTTCCTGTTATCACCTCAGCCCCTTTCCTGCCCTTCCCCCTGGGGACAAGGGCCCAAGGGATCCCATCAGTGACTCACAGCATCCCTGTGCCACAAGAGGGCACAGCAAGCCCTTGGATGTCATTGCCCGAAATAGCAACCAGCCAAACAGAGCTCAGGGGACAGGATAGACCGGGCAAAGTGGGTTAGAGGGGAAAACGTGCTCCGGCCCATTCATACTGCCATACGCTGCCCTGGGCGATGGCCAGCAGCCCAAAAAGGTCCCTGGAGAGTCAGAGGCTTTGGAAAGATCAGACTTGCTGCTTACCCAGTCCCACAGTGGTAATTCCCCCCGCAGCCAGAGCCCATCCTTTTAAGGCTCTGTTTGGTCTCCAGGCAGCTCTTTGCATTGAGCTTTCAGTTCCTGGACCACAGTCTGTAGAAGGCTGGACCATTCTGCTGTCCCATATCAGGTCCACTGCTCTCTTTTTCTGCTACTTTCTTACCTGCATGACTGTTTATTTAATTTTTCCCAGTTTTCAATGCAGGACTTTTCCAACAACCAGTACCTGCCATAAGAAAAACCCCTTCCCAGTCCATACCTACCTCCTCAAGGTGGCAGGCGACCATGTTCCTGTTAGCTCAGCCTTAAATGCCACATCCTAACAAGGGCCACCTGGTCCCAAGTTGGGTTCACCCAGCAGCATCTGTGGCAAGCTGAAAACACACCTGGCAGCCTGACTCCTGAAATGTGACACACTTGGTGTAAGAGCTTTGTAACCTCAACACCTCCAGCCTCTTAGCAGGAGAAAATCTGTATTTACAGGACCACCAACAGCATGGCAAAGCTCAGTGTGCACCCTGTCCCACATGCAACCTTCCAGAGCACCCATGCAGAGCACCCTGCAACCACAGCACCCCAAAAAGATACCAAGCCTCTGCAGAGACCCATCATTTTTCCTGCCCTCCCATCCCAGGCAGCTGACAGATGCAAAGACAGAACAGTAGTGTGCATAGCGATTGTGGTTAGATTTTATTGGTTTTTTGTTTTGTTTTGTTTTTTAAACTCATATAATTGTTATAATACAAAATATACAGACTGGAGATGCCAAGCAGGTTGTGGGTCACCATGCCCTGGGGCAGGGGGTCACACCATGCGACCTACAGCGTGAGGGGGGAGGCAGCAGGTGCTCCACATGGCAGCAAACAATGGGTACCCCAGGGAGCTGGGAGGAGGGAGAAAAGGGCCAAGAGATGGAGGGGCAAGGCCCTTCCACCCTTTGGAGAATGCAAGTGGGAGCTCAGCCCCACAGCAAACCTGGGAGCAGGTCTGTGAGATGAACAGTGTGTTGAATGAACCGAAAAAACACATCATGTCTGCAAGATAAATAATGTGTCAAATGAGCCTAAAAAACACGTGATATCTGCAAGGGCTGGGACAGGGATGGTCCCCCTGGGAAGCAGCCCCATAGCTTTGGCTCAGAGCCCCAGGGGTTAAATTTTAATGTCTGCAGCCCCAGGGTCTCAGCCTGGGTCTGGCCCAGCATGGGTGCTGATCCCAGACATCGAAGCTCAGGCCAGCCCAAACCACCCCTGGCCAAGGATACAGAGGGTGGAGCCACACTCGGGGCTGCCAGGACTGGGTACATTCCCAGTGCCTGTCAGGGGCTTCTGGAGTTGGCATGGGATCATTTGCCCATGGGCATCACTCTCCCAGCTACGACTTGGAGTGGTAAGTGGGCAGGACAGGCCTGTCTGCACACACCCATCTCCAAGGAGCTGGTGGTGACAAAAACACCCAGGGTCCCCATCCCCAAGGTCCCCAAGCAGGCTCTCACATGGCCATGCTGGAAAAAGGAGAAGAGTCCCCTGCCCCAAGGTGACCCTCCAGCCTGCCAGCAGCGTGGCAGTGACTCCTGTCTAACCAAAGCTTAGACTTTCTCCTCCAGGAGCTGCCAGCTCAGCCATGTCACCAGCACAGGGCTATCCTGTGGGGACACCTCTCAGCCTCATTGCTCATTCCCCTGGCCCCAGGGCAGCAGGTGGGCTGGGATGGGCCAGGGCACAGGAGCAGGGCAAAGTCAGCAGCAAACGATGCCAGGAGCATAGCTCTGAGCCCTGTGGGACCAGAACGGCCACCAGAGAGCAGCCCATCTCCCTCTTCCACATGTACCCTGGCTGTCACATCCTAGGGAAGGATGGAAAGGGTGTCTCTCCACTGGAGCCTCAGAGTGGATCCCTGGGGTCCCCCTGTGCCAGCACCCCAAACCTGAGGGACAGGGGCCAAGGCTGCAGCTCTCCCAGCCCTTCATCATCCATCCTGGGGGACAAATGCCACAAGTCACCTTGGAGTCCCTTTAGCCTCCCCTCTGCCCCTCTCAAGAAGAGCCTCGTAGGTCTAACCAGGATCCCTGGGATCAGGGGGCACTCCCCACAGCTCATGCAGCAATGAACCCCCAGGACTCACGTGGCTGCCTTCTCCAGGCCAGCCCCTCTGCCCACCCACTGGCCCAGGACAGGGAGGGTGGCTGGTGGCTCACAGTGGACACACCAGACATCTTCCCACAGCAGGGCCACAGCCAGGGCAGGGGAGGAAGCCAAAGCTCTGCCCATTGCAAGACTTTATTGGTTTCTAGAGAGTGTTGCTGGAGGATTTGGGCTGGAGCTGGGACTGGGGGCTCCTGGGGCTGGGGATGATCAGGGTAGGTGAGCTGTGGCTGCTTGAGGTGGTGTGCATGGGGAAACCTCTACTGCAGCCCAAGGATGCGTCTTTTCCACCGGGATTGAGTGCAGGGAGGTCCATCCAGGTGAAATTCTCATCCCGTGCCAGCCATGCCCATGCTCCAACATCTGGGAGCACCTGCTTGGGATTCCCCGAGGAAAGCAGAGCTGGGCCAGGGGAAAGGGAAGATCTCGGCTCCGACTGCATCTCAGGGAAGGAAGGCCCCTTTCCATGGAGGTGTCTGTGCAGCCGGAGAAGGGGAGTCCCAAAGGAAAAGTCAAGAGAGAGAAGGTTCTGGGCCCAGTGTCAGGAGAGCTCATCTGGAGGCAGGTCTGGGAGCTAAATCACGCTGTCGAAGAGCTGCATGGATCGCATGATGTTCTCATCCTGTCAGGAGCAGGTGGGAAGCAGGCAAGTTGGGCACAGAACAGCAATCTGGGCAGCTCCCCCAAACCTGGCTTTACCCTCATGGCAACTCTGGCACATGGGACAAGAGCCCCAGGGATCACAGGCAGTTTCTAAGCCCTACTGGGATCCATGGCTCTCCTCATCTGTACAAGGATGCTGGCATGGGTACAGCTCCCAAAGCAGAGCTCCAGCCTTGCCCCTGGGAGCCCTGGCTTCACTCCTCTCTACAGGAAGGAAGCAAGAGGGGCAAAGGTCCCCAAGGAAGGGGGTGGTGACCTAGCTCAGAGAAGAGCTGCTGGTGACTTTACCTTCTGGCAGGACTCCAGGAACTCCTCAATTGTCACCACACCATCCTTATTCCGGTCCATTTTCTGCAGACAAGCACAGAACAGGGAGAATAGCAGGGACAGCCCCAGCCCTAGGAAGAACCTGGTACCCCCTTCCCAACTCCCACAGGGGCTGGACTCAGTGCACCCCTGGCCCCAGACATGCCCAAGCACCAACAGGACCAGCACAGCCCTGCTTCATCCCCAGAGTGGGGTGTTTTCTGCTGCACCCACTGCAGCTCTGTGCTGGAGCTCTGCTTCCCCATGTGCTCATGCTTCCTGAGGATGTACTCAGCTCACCTGGAAGAAGTTCTCCACGTGCTCCCGGGGTGCTTCCTCCCGCATGGCCGGGTAGGTGTATTTGCCCATCATGTCGTAGATGGACTTCATGATGTCCAGCATTTCCTGATGGGAAGGGGAGCAGGGTTGCAGTCTCAACATGGGGCTCTGCTTCTGCCTGGTCCCCCACCCACACCTTTTTCTTGATGCTCCTGAAGGACCTGTGGGGTGCTCAAATGTGTTTCTGCTGGCTCTGTGCACAGTGTGGGGCCATGTGTGCATGTGCAATGGAGCCCCAAAGCTGCACACCACTCATCCACCTTCCATCCCAGAGGCACACCAGTGCCAGGAGGCCAGGAGGGACATTTGCAAAGCTGAGCTCAGTTAAATATTGATCCCCTGGGCTCTCCTTCAGAGCTTAGCCGAGTTCTGCCCTTGACCCTGCCAGATGCAGATTTGTGCTAGCCCCAGGGACCAGTCTGGAGCCCCCATCCCACCTCTTTGGTGATGCAGCCATCTTTGTTCAGGTCATAGAGGTTGAAGGCCCAGTTCAGGCGATCATCAATGGTGCCCCGCAGGATGGTGGACAGCCCAGACACAAAGTCCTGAAAGGATGGACAAGGCAGGCAGACAGGAGTTACAGCCACAAAGAGCCTCAGAGACACAGGGTACAGCCCTGCTTGATTCTCCTGCAGAGAGGAACTCGGCCCCAAAGCTGATATGCTCTGCGGCTGGGCTAACAAGGCAAAATGTTGGGTAGCAGAAAGAGTTGGGGGACAAAAGTTGTTTAACTCTGTACATTTCCCACACTACTCCCTTGGGTCACAGCAACCAAGAGGACAATGTGTTCAGCCAAAGCCTGAACAAGACCTAGCCATGGCTGTGTCTGTCAGTCTGGGTCCCTATACAACCCTACCCAGAAGATACAGAAAGCCCCTTTTTTTTGCTTTTCATTAGTCTTCTGTTGCCTTAGGGAATTTAATAAACCCCACTAGGCCTGCCAACTCTTCGTCCATCTTCAACAACAACACTGCTGGTCCCAGTCCATGGTCCCTGGAGGGCTGTGCTCTCCTTGCCCTGCTGCACCCCATCACCCCCTCCTTGGCCACAGCTCACCTCAAAGCTGACGGAGCCATCGTGGTCGGTGTCGAAGGCATTGAAGAGGAAGGTGGCATAGGTGCTGGAGTCTGCAGGGAGAGAGACAGCATGAGGGGTGCTGTGTGACCCTCTGCCCTGCAGAGGCACCCATGTCTATGGGGACAGGGATGGGGATGGGCACTCACCTCCTTGAGGGAAGAACTGTGAATAGATCTGCTTGAAGTTTTCTTCGTTGACAATGCCACTTGGGCACTCCTGCCAGGACAAGGTCACAGCATCACTGCCATGTTGCAAAAAGGGCTGAGCACCTCCTAAAAACCTGTGGGTGCCTTGCCTTGCCCTCCAGCCCTGTGCACCTGGTGGGGTGGCTAGAAAAGCTGCTTAGAGCATCTCCCTGGCTTTTTGGGCTGCACCCCTCACTGGAGGGGCTCTGAATCCCAGGCACCCAGGAAGGAGGCTCTCTGCACCCAAGGAAACAGAGCACAGGATCAGGTCTCCCCACTGAGCTCCCTGGAGGTAAGATCAGGCTGTAGCCTTATATGAACTTCAACCCCAAAAACTTTCACAAACAAAGCAGTACCCCGAGGTGGACATGGCAGCAGAGGTGGGGGCTATCAAAGCTGGTCAAGGAGTACTCACATTCTTGAAGCCTCGGTACAGGACCTGCAGCTCTTTGCGGGTGAACTTGGTCTGTTCCTGGAGCTGCTCCAGCCCCTCGGGGCGGTGGCAGACGGTGGAGAGCTCAAACTCATCCTCAACACTGTCTGCAAGGAACCCAGGGGAAGAGAGGGTGGCTGAGGCCAGCACTGTCCTGCCCTCTCTTGTCATGCCAGGGGGCAGAGAGGCACCTTGCACAGCACACGCTGTCCTCTCACACCTGCCCATGTTGACACATTTTTGGGGTGCTCTGCTCAGCCAGAGCTGGGTCTATGCCAGAAGAGGACACTCGTAGACACCCTGGCTGCAGACCAGGGACTGACAGTGGGCAACAACCCCCCTCCAGTACAGCCCAGGATGGGCACAAAAGAAGTGTGAAAACCCCCCAGTGCTGAAACCCTCCATGCCTGCCCTTCTCCTCCCACCAGCACAGGCACCTGCCCTGTGGAGTTTAGACCCTTGATGTCCTGCAGCACCAGGGCTCACATCCAGTAGGAGAGTTGCCCCTCAGAACCCCCAGCCCCAAACACCACCCCCCCTCAGCCTTTCCAGATTCTTTTCTACCCACTGTGCTCCCACCTTCCTTGACGGCTTCTCTCCACCACCTGCCAAGCTGCACAACCCCTGCCTGCAGCACCAGCATCCCTAGACCCCACTCAGCCAAGGGGAGCACACAGCAGGTACTCCCTCTTCATGGGATGGCTCAGACCCTGCCCCTCATACTCACCTGTTCCCAGGGGGGATTGGCTTGCACCGTGGAGCTGGGAGAGATCCTGACCGGGGGCTTGGACTCACCAAGGAACCAAGCACACCCAGTACAGGGGTTAAGGGACTCCACACTCACTCAGCCTCTCTCGTCACCCCATCACACCTCCACCTCCAAACCGACCCTCAGCTCAGAGAAACAACTCCCCACCCCTTGGACCAGTGCCGGGAGGGCCCTGCTGCCTGAGCCAGCTCCCAAGCGGTCCTTGCCGCTGTGCATCCCGTGGGAGCTGCTCCAGGGAGATGAAGAGGGAGAAAACCAGCCTGTGAGCAGGTAACAACAGAGGTAGGTGCAGAGCCCATGGGATCGGACCCCTCCAGGGCAGGGCTGATCCTGACAGCCAGGGCAGGGGAGAGGTGGAGGCGTCCCCTTCCCGCAGGCAGGGCCAGGGCGGAGAGCAGGCAGCAGCACCGCCGGGACAAACACACACAAAGGCAAGAAGAAGCACTTGCTTTCACTGAGCGAGGGGATGGATTTGGGCCGGCAGCAGGGCAGCAGTTTGAGGAATCGCTGCTTCAGCGCTTTTTTAGTTTGGACTGGCGGGTTGCCTGGAAGAAAGAAGGAGTCACCAAGCAGAAGAATTAACACAGCATCAGCCCCCGGTCCCGACGGGCAGCAGGGCTGGGCACCCGGCGCGGGGTGATCTGAGCAGAGGCAGCACATGCAGCGTGAGGCTGGAGGAGCAGGAAGGCAAAACCCAGCCCAGGCTCTGGTCAACCTTCCTGCTCAATGCCAGGACAAACCCAGCACTGGAGTATCCATCCTTGGGAAGGATGAGGACAACCCTGCTAGGTTACCCACACCCAGTGCCTCTTTACACCCCCATCATACCAGGGTGCACTGGAGACTCCCAGGAGTCCAGAGAGTCAGGAAACGGCAGGGCCAGACTCTGTCCTTTAGCCTTGAGGACAATTACCTGCTGCCTGGGGACCCTCTCGAGGGGCTCTGCAGGGAGGCAAGGTAGAATGAAGCCCAAGAAACAGGCTGTGGTAGAGCCAGAGCACTGCATACTCCCTAAGCTCGGGCTGGGTTTGATCCTGCTGGCACCCAAGGGCTGAAGGCAAAGCATGCACCAGACCCCCCATGCAGCCCAGACTGCAGCATGCACCCCCACCCCAGTGCAGCACTGGGACCCGAGCCCAGGGACCTGCTCTGAGACAGCCAGAAGGGGAACGGGGCTTTGCCTTGGCCAGGCTACAGGGCTGGGTGAGGGACTCCCCACACCAGCCTGGCCCACGGCCACTGCATCCAAGTCACTCTGCATTAATAGTAGGTCCCCTGTCTGTACTGACCCCACTGCCACCCTCAGTTCCCCCATTTGGACCCCAGTGGTTTCACTCAGCCCCATCTCTCCCAGCTGGTGTTGCCCCATGGCTGCAGACCCCCTCCCTCCCTTGCCACAGTGCCTCAAGCCAGCAAACTCAGCACAGGACTGATGCTGCAGGTGGGGAAAGGAGGAGGAGGAGGAGGGGATGAAGGCCATGCTGGGCTCCAGCCTCCGAGGGGAGGCAGACACCAGCATGGGGACAAATGGGACAAAAGGTGCAAAGTCCCTTTGGGGCTCTGGTTTGTTTGTCACTGTGTTTGCTCCAAGAATCCTGTACATCTGCAAGCAGCAGGTCATAATGCCTCTGCATCCTGAGACCTGGTTTTGGGGTTCTTTCTCTAGGGGACTAGCAAATAGCTGCCAGAGAAGTCCTTTCTCAGCCTTTTGGGACTAAGCTGAGTGCAAGATGCCAGGAAAATGGTGTTGCATGGTCTTGGCAGCTCCAAGACAGAGACATAGGTCTGCATCCAGAAGCCACTTCTAGGCAGGTTGGCCCCAAAGTGCTCACAGGCAGGACCTGGCACCCTCTGAGCTCACACCAAGGCAGCTCCATCATTCTAGGGGATGGAGAATAGCTCCAGGAGGTCATGGATCCAGCAGGACATCACAAAAAGCCATTCAAAGAGGGCAAATTCTCCCCAGGGATGTGGCATCCCCAGCAGAGTGACAATGAGCTGCAAACCTATAGGGATGAACAAACACATCCCCTGGCATTTATCAGGGGGTGACAGGAGCAAGGGTGGGGACCAGGATCTTGGCACTGGCAGAACAGCACAACCTGGCTTCTGTCTGCTCCAGGGTTTACAGGCAGGTGAGGAAAGAGGACTTTTTTTTCCTAGAAGCGGGCATCAGTTGTACATAAACCATGATTTTGTCCCAGCTACCCTTCCAGGGCCTTAATTTGCAGAGGGAAAGGGAAATTGCACCTTTCAGCCTTCCAAGGATGCTCTGGGGCCAGGTCCCTCCAGCAGAGCTGAGCTGTGGAAACAGACCTGACAGGCAGAAGTATCCCCTTTGCTGAGAGGGGAGGGACAGGGTGGGCAGAGCAACACCCAATGGCAGGGTGATGCACCCGGGAGGGAGCAGGGCAGGGGGGAAACCACACAGCGAGAGAGATGCAACAGAGAGTAAACTGTGGTTGGACTCACAGGGGCAGCAGGTATAGGCACGTGCAGTAGGTCAGGTCGGGTGCAAGTTACACTTTAGTTTGTTATAAAGAAGGAAAAAGAAAAAAAATAAAGAACATGGGTGTTTTCTCAAGGAGGAAACCAAAGGGGGCCCAGTTCCAGGGTCCCCAGGGCAAGGGGGGAGCACATTCAGCACATGCAGCTTAACAACAGGAGAGGGATGACCAGGACTGGGATTTTGCTGTCCTGGCTTTAGTGAACACAAGGGCTCTGCTGAGTAGGACACACCGCCCTCTTTCTGTCCCCAGCATCCAAACCACAAGCAAGTCTGGGAGCTCCTCCTTGCTGGGATCAGCTCTGCCCAAAGACGAGGAGCAGAGCCCAGCCATATGCTGCCACTCTGGCCACAAGGGACATTGCAGCACGGAGCCCTGTCCCTGCCAGCGACAGCTCCTTCCCCAGATGCCGCCCTGCTGTGCACCCTCCCGCAGGGGCCATCCAGCGGCGGCACAGAGCAGAGGGCTGGCGGTGCTTCATCTGCGGCGGGTTAGGTGCCTTGTCGCTTCCCATGCATCGCTCTGCAGCTCGGCGACTTCAAAATACACAAACACATACAAGCTGAGACTCTATCCTTGAGTAGCAGCAGAAGGGAAAGGGATTTCCCATCTCCACCTCTACACACAGTTAAGCTGAATCCCAAAGGCTGGCTCTGAAGGGACCTACAGTGGGTAGTTCCCTGCCCCCAGCAATGATTGCCATCAGGATGGCCATGGACCACTTTGTATCGAGCCACCAGCAGCTGATGTGTACTTGGAGGCTGGATCCAGCCAATGCCACCATACTGAGGGTTACCCACTGCTGGGCTGACACCCCCTTCCCACGCAGGACCCAAGCCTGGGCTGCTCCATGGTCTCCTCAGAGGAAAATCAGGAGACAGAGTCAGTCAGGTGCATAACAATGTCCCTGTCCTCCCACAGAGCCACAGCCACCAGTGCCCTTCCAGTGACAGCTGGATGGGGAGACCAATCCACCCCTTCCATGGCGCCCTCCTGCAAGAATACACCCTCAATAACAAACCAACAGGCAGTGCCAAAACTCCCCCATCTCCCTCAGTAACCTGTCAATAAATGCATGATCACGATGGGTGGAAAACGTGCATCCCACAACAAGACCTCCCCAGTGTCCCCAGCTCCAGGACACAGCACATTGCAGGAGGGGAGCAGAGCACCAGCAGCCCACCAGTCATGCAGCATCACAGCCCCTGCTTGGCCCCGCGGGGCAGCACTGGGTCAGCTGTGTCAGGAGGAGCTGGAATGCCAAGGCTGATCTGAACCCAGCTGCCCCTAAAACCTGTGGCTGACAATCATCCCTGTGCAGGGCTCAGCCACTCAGGGAAGTGCCCAGCTCAGGCAGTGCCACCAACCACAGCTCTCTGGGGTCTGCAGTGATGCTCAGCAGGAGGAAGAGTGAGTCTCCCCAGCCACCCTGGGGAGGTCAGGATGTGTCCCACCAACAGCAGCTCTGCAAATGACCCTCATCAGTCAGCAATGCAGAGCCAAGCAGAGCAAAGGTGCCAGACAGTCATCCATCAGAGGAATGAAATCACAGCTGGCATCTCCCAGGGCCAAAGAGTCCCTGTCCTGAGGGTGGGACAGAGTTGGGAGCAGCAAAGCTGCCAAACAAGCTGCAGTTTGTGGACAGCAAAGGCTCAGGACCAGGGTATTCCCTGGTGCCTGAGGGAGAAACAGCTGCACAACCCTTGTGCTGAGCAGTCCCCAGGGGGGTACTGGCCATGGGCCAGAGCAGTCCACAGAGTCAAGTGGGGCTCGCAGCACTGCTGTCCCCATTCCCACCCCCAGCCTGTGACAGTGCTCCCAGAGAGCCTGG